CCCCCCCCCCCCCCCCCCCCCACCTGCTATCTGCGCTAAATACTTTGCAAGGGCACCAACGCGGCTTCATTTACTTAGCGCCGCCCAAGACAATTGTGATTGGTTTGAAGAAATACAAACAAGCCAGAGCGGGGGTTTTTTTTTCTTCTCTATAGCAGAATAATAACGTGTGGAGCCACTGACACAGAGATGTGGAGTTAGGTCTCTCTATGAGAGACTTCTCTTCACGTGATGTATTCACAGCTATCAAAATATAGAATAAAAGAGGTGCTTGAAACAACATGGAAGATTTGGGTAACCACAACATCCACTCACTGTGCTCTCATGAATAATGGATTACCATATTAGCAACTTATCTTACATTTTGAGCTACTGCACGAGGCAAACAGGTTGGTAGCTCAGTCTGATTGTTAGTGAAATATGAGCCAGTAGCAATATTTTCTGTCACAAAGAGATAGGCACATAGTTATGGACACACATTTACTGCAGACACAAGTCGAGCAAGCATTACTAAATAAGATGCAATTGTGCAGAAACGTTGAAATGCTGCACCATGCGCACCTGTGACCAGGACTTCCACTACAAATTTGTAATTGAATCACGGGTGGATAACATTAGTAAATGGAAAACCAGGTCAACCAGGAAAAACATGCTTCAGCATTTAAAATACACATTGTACAACAGACAGTGTTCAGCAAGCACCATTGAATGAGTGAGGAGTGCTTAATCAGTGCTGCTGAAATGTGTCACGACAGTTAACAAATTTCAAATTCTACATGTTGTTATGTAATGTAATTATTGGCATCTGTCACTGACTTGTTATGAACATTTTAATTGTTATTCTATTGTTATTGCACTGCTGATGTTTTCCAAATGGAGCTGAGCACCTACCTAGGACCATGAACCTCTTGTTTAGAATAAGCACACTCATTAAGAGTTAGCGGTTAAGCAAATAGCTTCAAGCCAATGGCTTCATTTAAACCCAATTGAGATCGAAAGATGTGTGAATAAATGGGTGGATAACATATGTCTCCTTGGAGAACATACACAATCTGTTATATCACAAAACGTTTTTTTTCCTAGATGCAAGTACAGATGAGTAAAAAAAACTCTTCCATTTCACTGAACATAGGGACGAATATCAAAAGGCATCTCTGCTCCTCTGATCGTGACCTATTCCTTTTAGAAGACAGAAAGCTCTTTGTGGGCATGCTCAACAAGCAACAGTCAGAAGATGATGTGCGGCGCCTTTTTGAGTCCTTCGGCAGCATCGAGGAATGCACCATCCTCCGAGGTCCTGACGGAAACAGCAAAGGTGAGTTTATAGCTGTTTATAACTTTGAGCCAGCAGACTCTTTTCACACGCTACTGCACAGAAATGATTTGGCCTTTCAAAGTTGGTGACTTTGCAAAGTTCCCCTTAAACACTCCTTGTTGAGGGATGTCAAAGCGGGCTATTTCACAATCATCAGAGGAGTGGTTACATAAGAATACTGTAGATCCTGTCAATTTAAACAGGAAATGCCATTTGAAGGTTTTGCCCACGGGGATGAGAGATATAAACCACCAACACTTTACAGATGAACCCCATTAACCTCATGAGTCAACCTACACGGCTGTGACGAAGACAAAAGCCAAGTCAACCTCCTTATTTACCACCTAACTTCATGACACGCCAGAGAAACTGTCCTTTCCAAATGTTGTCAGAGTGCTACACAAGTTCACTGCATGAAGTTCATCAGTGGGCTTAGCAGCCAATCAATGAGGCCCGATGATAACTAAGCCTGATGATTACAGTGGGCTTGATCATTCTGATTCCTCCGTGAAGCTCCATTAACAAGGCCTCATCAGCCAGCTTACTCGGCTAAGTGGGCTTTAGCTCAATAATTACTGGGAACTTGATCATTCAAATTCATCAACGGGCCTTGTCAATAGTAAGCGACACCAGAATGCTGTGGCATTTTAAGCCCCATCACAGGATCCCAAAGTTGTTAATGGTGTCAGAGTGGCATGTTTAGCCCGCTCATTGAGCGTCGAGCCACACTGACGCAGCAAAAAGGGGGGTTTTGGTTACGATGTTTGTTGCCGCTTTGGAAACTTATCCCTGGTGAAAAACAGGAAACCTTTTACTTGTTGTCTTGTTCCTGGAGATGTTTTGCGGTGATACTGTATGATATACTTTTCAGAAAAACTTTTCTCTTTTGTTCTCACTGCCTGTTTTTCCCCTTCGCCATTTTCTCGCCCTCTCTCTTTCGCTCTCTCTTTCTCTCTCTCTCTCTCTCTCTTTAGGCTGTGCGTTTGTAAAATACTCCTCTCATGCTGAAGCTCAGGCAGCCATCAGTGCACTACACGGCAGCCAGACAATGCCTGTGAGTACATCTTATCTGTGTGAGTGAGCATGTAGATTTATGTGAGAGAGGTGAGTCACGTAGAGGGATGAGTCACATAGAGCTTAATTACCTTCTTAAAGTTGAGTTAAGCTATACTTTATTAATCCCAGTAAGGAAATTCGTCCTTTGCATATGACCCATCCTAACTATATCAGGGTAATGGTTGCCAGCTACAGCTCTGACGCCATTGCCTTGGCAGAAGAGGATGTGTGTGCGAGTGCTGATGGAAGCTTATGTCATGTGTATCTGTATACACTAACATGTTCTGCGTGGCGTGTTTGTGTGTGTATGTGTGGGTGGGTGGTTGGGTTGGTGCACAGGGTGCCTCATCCAGTCTGGTGGTGAAGTTCGCCGACACGGATAAGGAGCGCACCATCCGCCGCATGCAGCAGATGGCTGGTCAGATGGGCATCTTCAACCCTATGGCCCTGCAGTTTGGAGCCTACGGAGCCTACGCTCAGGCAAGATGCCCCGCAAAACGTCTTTGTGATCCACAGTTATACATTCAATAAACCACAGAGATTAAATGGAGTGTTCAAGCCTAGCTCACATGGGAATCTGAAATAGCAAAAGGAGATGTTCTTCATCCAAGTAGGAATACTGTATTTTCTTAGGGAAATACCTCCTTTTATACCCCCACCCCTTTTTTTTTTTCTTTCTGAACTCAATAACCATAAAGGCCTTCTCCTCTTTCCTTACATTATTCTCAACCCTCCTTTGAATCTCCTTCTCCTCCACTGTGTAGGTGCAGCAGCAGGCAGCATTGATGGCGTCAGTAGGCCAGGGAGGCTACCTCAGTCCGATGGCGGCCTTTGCTGCTGCCCAGATGCAGCACATGGCCACCATCAATGGCATCCCAGGAGCACCAATGACCCCAACGTCAGGTAACAGTGGGGAAAGACCAAATGTGAAGGGCCTGAGGAGGAAAGAGTACTGGAATATTGACTCAACTAAAAGTACTTTAATTACATTTTAAAAGTAAAAGTTTTTAACTTTCCCGAGATCAATAGTTTTTGGTCTAATTTGATTCTTCAACAGTTTCCTCTTGATCGATTTAGGTTATTCCGATCATTTCAGTCGTTAAGACATGCTGCAGTAGTTCCTTTTTCTCACGTTGCGTTTCTTTTGGTTGTTCTCAAAGACAAACAGTAGTAGCTGTCAGTAGGCCAGGCTATCATTGGCTCGTGAGAGCTGGGGGCGAGACTGCAGTTACTGCTATTGGTTACTGCTACCGGATACTCCGCGAATTTGGCTCATGAGTATAGTTAGGCCACATTTCACGTCCCTTGCAAAAGTGCCGATCCAGGCAATTGCCTTGTACGTTATTAAAATGTGCTCTGAGTAAACGTACAGCCATTCTGTCTCAGATTCAGAATGGCTGTTGTTGTCACAGTGAGGGACATAATGGGTCAAGAAATCCGCCCTGACATTTACTGTCTTCACCGGCTCACTGGACCGACCCCTCTGACATTTCCACGAGTTACTATGTGTCCAGTCAAAGTAAAACTTCTCCATATTGTCCTCGAAAAAAACTTACTGTTTCTCTCTGTCTTTGCCCGTCTGACCCTTGGCTGCAGGTGGCAGTACTCCCCCAGGCATCAGCGCCCCCACAGTGACTAGCATCTCCTCCCCCATTAGTGTAAATGGTTTTACTGGCATGCCGCCTCCCCAGGCCAATGGGCAGCCTCCTGCAGAGGCTGTCTTCACCAACGGAATACACCATTACCCTGGTAAGGCTGATAAATTCAGTGGCATGTATGCAAACACACAAAACAACTCTCAGAGATACAGAAAACAAATCATAAAGCTGTATAAATTATGGCTACACTGTTTACCATGTTAAACCATGACGTCTTGAAAATGAAGCTAAAATCCTCAGAGGCACACTCTGCAGTAAACGCATCCATTGTAGCGGGAAAGTGTGCATGCTGCTGGCTTATAGGCGTGAATAGTCTTGAAGCATGTTCAGGAGGCCGAGGCCAGACGAATTTAGCCCACAGACAGTCAGCATGTCGAGGAGATGAGTGTTTGGCAAAGGTGCTTATGGGGCTGCTGGAGCCTAAGTATGCGCTTGTGTCATGAGCCGTGGCTAGTACCTCATTGGTTTTTGTCTGTGAAGAGGTGGAAGAAAAATCTGTCTTTTTGTTTTTTCTTTACACTCTTGTCTCTCCAGTGTTGCAGGAGATGGTTTTTAGGGAGGACTCGGAGAAAAACGGCTTGGGCGTGGCTCCGCGGAGTTGTTTTGGGGTTCAGGGTGGCTGCTTCCTCTCTTCTCTCTCTGAAGGTAGCGCTCCTCTCCCTCCTCCCTCCTCCCCATCCTCTTACCCTTTTTCATCCCACTTCCCCATGGGCTAAAACAAGGGTCAATACGATTTTGAGCTTGTGAAATATTGTTCAGAAATCATTTCAAGGCCTGAGGTTTTATATCATCCTTTGTAAACCTCTTAAAAACCTGCATGAGAAATGTTATGAATGTTCAGTAATGATTTGTAGTTGTGGAATTTTTTTTGTTTGAATTCCAAGCAGAAAACTGTGTCACGCTCCCACAGTCTAACTTCAGTGTTAGACGGGCACACACACTTGAAAGTTACAAGGACAAACTGTGGCCCTGATTTTACAGTTAAAAGCAGGGCAGAAATCATATTATAATTATAATGTAGGTGTCACAAATGGTATGGGGAGCATCACAGAAATTCCTTTGTCAGACATTCCAAAATATTTTTTTTTGTAAAATTGCTAATCTTTTCCACATTCACAAACTTTTCGTGCAACAGTTTCCCACCGGTTCACAAAGGATGAAGTACAACTACAGGCTTTATAATTATTGCTGAACATGATTTTACAAGCTTAGAATATATTGACTTTTATTTGAGCCCATACCTCTCTCCTTTCGAACGGCTATCTGAACCGTATTTCAGTGTTGCTGTTAGTCCACGATGTGTTCAGTGTTTCTTGGGTTTGGTGATAGTGGTGTTTTCAGTGTGTGTACGTGGTTATCGGTGTGTGTGTGTGTGTGTGTGTTTTCTCAGTGGTGTATTTAATGTGCATGTACTATGTGTACAGATGGGTAGTTATTAAGTGTGGCGCAGCATCTGTGGTAGCAACAAGTGTGTTTAGAATGGGGGGATTTTTTCACGTTTCATTTTTAGATAATTAATTGCATCTCCCACATGTGAAGTGATAGCAACAGGTGCATCCAGTGTTGTGAGTGTGTATTGTAACTGTATTGCCGTATATATGTCTAACTACAGTAGACTGTCAGACAAATCAATGTTCCTTCTTCGTATGGTTTGTTTATAATAGATACATAAATAAAAAAATGTTTTTTCCTTTCCTGTGGTGACAGTGGAGCCGTGTGTTGTTTTTCTATTTTAACTGTGGTCCCTCAAAGTTTTACTTTTTTACTTCTCTGGAAAAATCATGAGCAACTTTTGAAATGCTTTAGGAGGAACATAAAGCAAAAAGCCCAGCAAAAGAGAGAGAGAGATTCTGAATTCAGTTCCTCACACAGTGGAAGCAAAGCGAGCGGACACCTCGCTGTTCGGATCTTTAACCTTTCTGCTTTTCTTCTCCTTTCTGTTCTCCTCTCCATCGCCGCTCCTTCCATCCCTGCTCCCTCTCACCTTTGTTATATATTACTCTCGCCTTCCTCCGTGCCCTCTCCTCCATCTACATTCTCCCTCCGTCTCTCTCTGCCTCATCTCCTTCCCCCTACACACACACACACACACACACACACACACACACTTCCATCCATCCGTGCTCCCCCTTCACCACCTTCACCTTCTTCTGTCTCTGGTGGAGCAGCTCAAAGTCCCACCGCAGCTGATCCTCTCCAGCAGGCTTACACAGGAGTCCAGCAGTATGCAGGTCTGTCTGGCACTGATCTCTGTGTGTGTGTGAGTGTGTGTGTGTGTGTGTGGTGACCGAGAGAAAGGAAAGGAGAAAGATTCCTTTGTTTGAATTTCAATTTTGATCATGTAACAATAGGTGTTTCAGTCGCACTACATCAATTTATTCTCTCTGTTGTGTTCACTGTGTGTGTGTAATATGGAGACTCTTCTGTCAGTTATCTGATTGATTGCCTGCTGTGCTCCTGCATATATCACATTGTTTGTATGTATCCGTGTGTGTGTGTGTGTGTGTGTGTGTGYGTGTGTGTGTGTGTGTGTGTGTGCGTGCTCTAGTCATGACTGTTATCTGATCCGCGCTATGTGTGTGTGTATGTGTCTCAGCAGCGTACCCCGCTGCATACGGCCAGATCAGCCAAGCCTTCCCCCACCCTCCACCCATCATTCCACAGCAGCAACGAGAAGGTGACACACACACACTCAAACACGGCACACCATTCACTCCTAAATATTCATGCATGCTGCAAACATTTACTCATATTTACCTCTCTGTTTGTCTTTAATCCTCTTGCCAATATAGTCCTGGAATAAACACCCACGTTTAAACACATCCAGGCAATTCGCAGTCCTCGTTTTATTTTCAGGCATGATTTCACCGTCTGCCAGTCTGTCAAAAGCAAAAATACTCACACTAACACACGTTATGGTATCAGTCAGGATTGATTAGTGAAGAGTGACAGCTTGAAATCTTTATTTTTTAGCCTTTTAAAATCGAGACAAGTTTAAGATGAAATCATAATGCAAAATAAAAAGAAAGTTTAAAGTGTCAGGTTACTCGGGTTATGATGCAGTGACGATCCCTGCTGGTTGTCGGGCATCTAACTTTACCGCCATTACTGAGTGTTTCAAACTGAGCGTTAAACCTACTCATGAACTCAATGACCTTAAAGCTCATGCAGGACACCCATGCTTGGGACCTTACTGCCCTCTTGTGGAAAATAAACAAAACATTGCACATTTATCAGAATTGAACGGCAATTTAATGAGTTTTCCATTACAGCTAAAACTGTCAAACAACCCAACATTACTGTTAACTAATGGCTGCATGCTAAAATAAAATCTGCACCTCCACAAGTTTTTTTGGAACCCTGATACCAAACCTGATTTCACTATTCGTATTAAGAGAATAAGTATCAAGCTAGTTGGTTAAAATAAAAGTCTAGGTTTATAAAAATGGTATTTTCATATTACAATAAATAGGAAAACATCCTTAGTTATTATCATTATTATTATAGGAGTTTAACTCTCAAAACCTTTGTGTCACAAAATCTATTGCAAGCAATTCTTTGAAATAGTGGTAGCGCAATGACTCACAAGTCAGAGTCGCTCACGAATTGTAGATATATTTGTGAGTCCTACGGGGCTCTGACATGTTCATGCATCTGCAGCAAGTATTTGTCAGGATTAGTGAAACTACAAAACAACAAAATAAACAGGAGAGGAAATTATCTTGTGTTGCAGTGTGAAGCTTTAATATTTTAAATTTGGTGAAACGGGCCCCCGCTTTATCAAGAAATAGTACAAATTACTCATCACACTTTCCTAAAGCCCAATGTGACATCTTTAAATATCTTGTTTTTGTCCGACCAGTAGTTAAATATTCAATTTACTACCAAATAAGACAAAGAAATATAACTTGTTTTCGATTATCAAATAGTTGCAGATTTATCGACTGTCAGTTGAGTAATTGTTTTAGCAAATGTTGTTGAATCCTGACATCACATCATTTTTCCTTAAAATGATTTACTTGAAATCAGTGAGAAGAAGTCAAATACAGAAACACATCCTTTAACATCACACCCACTGTCAAATGCAGGCATCTTGGTTCACCGACCAAAAATGTACATGACCGAAAATCACAGTAAGAAGTTCACGAGCAGTTTTCGGGGCATTTTGGTAAACCTTCACAAGCTATTCTATCTTCACAAAGTCTCCTCTTGTTGCGCTCAACCTTTTAATGCTTCTCTCTCGCTTGCCTCTCGTTCTCTGACCTTTGCCCCTTATCTCTCTCTCTCTCTATTTCTCTCCCTCTCTCTGTCTCCGTGTGCAGGACCAGAGGGTTGCAACCTGTTCATCTACCACCTCCCTCAGGAGTTTGGGGATGGAGAGCTGATGCAGATGTTCCTGCCTTTCGGTAATGTCATCTCCTCCAAAGTGTTTGTGGATCGGGCGACAAACCAAAGTAAATGCTTTGGTGGGTAAAAATGAACAAACCAAAAGATTATTGGTTATTTATTCTGATTATTCTTTTTTACTAATCACCTTCTTTACCGCAGTCAACACCCCCTTCCTAACCTCCCAACACCCCTCCCTTACAAAAATTAAAACAAAACAGTGGAGAATTTCTCTACAGTTGTGCAAAAGCTGGTTGTTACTAAAAAGAAAGAATAGAGAATGAGTTTGTTTGAATTTTTCTATTAATCATTAAAGCTGTTTTCTTTTGAAGCTCCAACTAATTTATTATATGATAAATATTTCAGTGATATATGTAACTACTATAATGCTGACATCAATAGTTAATAGACCGTGATAGAAGTGAGTTGTTTTAATGCCATGTTTGCACAGTTACATTGCCACTGTGCTCTTTATGACATATGCATACAAATGCTGACTCTCCGTCTCTTACTTACTGTAAGAAAAAGCAATGCATGCTGAGAGTACAACAGTTGCTCTCGCATGCAGAGATAGAGAGACTGCTGTCTCACTTCATACCACTGACAGCACAATTCAGCCGGATGTATAATTATGCGGCAAATTACAAATGGATTGTGGAGAATATTTAATGGAGAGTCCGTCAGGTGCAACCTATTTTGCAAAGTAGCTTTTGCTCGTTAATACAACACATTAATGTTGTATTATTCATGTTGCAATTTTGAGATGCAAGTTTTAATTTGTGATTCGATGCTTTCTCACTTTTAAGTGGAAATTGAAAACCGAAAAATTCAAAAATAGCACAACCACGTTGATGTTTTGGTTTTACATCCCATCACCAAGTTCATATTGTGATTTTGGTTGCATGCAGCGCTCTGTTATGTGGTACATTGTTGTTGTCATACTGTATGTTAGCTGTATTAATGCTTATGAAGTGCCGTATTACATAGTATTTGTTTTATCAATGCTAAAAGATAGTAGTGTTTTATGTACAGATACAATTATTTCATTCTTATAGTAAAGTTATACAGTTATACATTCATGTAAAAGACTGCTTCATCTTATTGGACCCATCTTCATTATCCTTTCTTTTGTAACCCCAAACTTCCTTTGCCTCTTCATCTAACCACACCCTCGTCGTTCTCTCCTCGTTTTGGCCTTTCCCCCAGGATTTGTGAGCTTCGACAACCCAGGAAGTGCCCAAGCTGCCATCCAATCAATGAACGGCTTCCAGATCGGCATGAAAAGACTCAAGGTGCAGCTGAAGAGGCCGAAGGACGCCAACCGTCCCTACTAGCCCCCCCGCCCCAGCCAGCCGCCGCCACCCTGGCGGCCGGGGCAGCCGTTGCACACAGGGAAGACAGGTCAGACACCCGACCCCTACTCATCTCGAAACATTTGTTGTCACTTTAGTCTGATAGGTGATTAGCTGAACCAATGCATGCAAAACCACTGCATATTATATTGACAAATGCTCAAATGGCAAGCCCATTCAAAGCACCGCCTGATGTTCTCTCTGTAACCTTTTATAAATGTCATAAAACATCTGCAGAGGCCTAATAACTCGCTGATCATCGGCAAATTGCTTGTAAAGAATAGTGATGAAGATTTACCACCTTGTTGATAGTTCAAGTACGCATTTGTAAATATTAACTCCACCTATCACCTGTCGTTATGACTCATTATTGTGTAAGAGTTATTGTTACCAGTTATCCCACGGGCAGCAGTATATGCTTAAGTGAAACACCCCACACATTTGAGGACAAAACTTTCAAGTTTTGGAAGTAGACAACATATAAATACAAAGCCTTTTTTATGATCGACAGTTAGATGACTAACAGTATATGTAGACTCAAATGTTGAATACATTATTTTATTCCTATGTTATGAACTCTATACCCTGCCATGCAATCGTTCATTCATTTTCATGACTGGTTGAAACAAACTTTTTATGTTTACTTACATGAAGCCTCCTCTATTTGTAGAACAGCTTTACAGTAAGTGACCCTGTATGTTACCCTGCAGGTAACAGTTAATTAGTAATAGGTTCTGTGTGTTGCACAGGGAAGGAATCGCTTCCAAGGGAGAGGCATTTATTACCCCTCAGGCGGGTAATTGTGCTGTTCCTCTTTGTCTCCTCCCTTCATCTGTGTGATGGAGAGTTTAGGCTGCGTCGTTCATTCAACACTGATGACTTCATTCAAGGGCAACTTATCACCCACTCACAAACTAACTGAACCACACCAGACGGTGTCCCGAGGCAAATCACTGCCAGAAGAATAGTGCAATCTCATATGAATGTGTCACAAAATATGTGCCACCGTTATTTTTGACATATAAAACCATTTTCAAGAGAACGGTAGTGAAAACATCTCTTTGATTTCATTTTCTTTTGACCTGAGACTGACAGTTATTACAGTGTTTGAAATGTCAACTGATAAACGAGCGTATAGACATTTTTGCACTGGAATTCCCAATTTTATTACATCTAAATGATAATAATAAACTATTATGGCAAAGAGTTTTCAGACTGCGAGTATTCAGACTGCAAGCTGGAGAACTTCTTAACTTCTAATGACACATGAGGGTTAAGGTGTGTCTTGATTAAAATCCCTTCATCATTTCAAAAACAGGATTAAACGGTTTGGTTTAAATAAAACACAAACCTTAATTGTTCTTCACATAGGAGATTACAACGGCGTCACTGCCGGGAAGATCAATTAATTCTCTGCAGGGTGAGCACTGATTTGTTTTCAACATTGTCTCAACAAAATTATCTTTGTTTATCCATCCCACAACGTAGAGCCTTAGTGCCAGTGAAGATGCTTTAGAGAGGAAGGTGTCCTGTAAATATATATCCCACTGCTCCATCTGCATGTAAATAAAATACAGCAAGTATCATCAGCAAGGGCAGACACATAAGGAATAAAAAACATCTAAATTAAAAACAAATATTTCCCCCGTTAACGTTCCTTTAGCTGTCTGATGTAATGTAGAAATTTGGTCTCTTCTGTAATAAATGTTTGTTTCAGCCCAGAAGGACAAGCTGTCTCTTTGAATCGTCTAGATTCAAGTAAATAAACAAATCAACAAAAAACTAGACGAGCAATTACAGCAAAAATTAACAAGATCCAGATTCTACAGCTATAGTGGCTCTGACAGGCTGCAGTGTCAGCATGCTAATATTACAATGACAATGCTGACACGCTGATGTTTGGTAGGTTTACTTTAACCATGTTCACCATCTTAGTTTAGAGTGTTCGAGTGTTGCACTAAACACAATGTTTTGCAGGTTATGGTCATAAACCAAATAATTCAATCCAAAAACAATTCACCACAAAAGACAACCCGTTGGTGGCGCTGGAGCAAAAATCTTGGGATCAACAAAGTCATTTAGACACAGCGTCTAAAAACATGGACGTGTGTATAAAACGTTGATGTTGAGATATTTCGCTGAATAAGGGAAAACTTTGACCTGCACCATGAACATCATGGGCACCATGAACATCTGTACCAAATTGCAATCCATCCAACAATTGTTGAGATATTTCACCAAAATCTAAAAATGTTAAACACATGGTGGCATTAAAGGAAAAGTCGTGGGAACCCCAAAGTTGGTAGGATTCATCCTCTGGGTACCATGAATGACCATGTCGAAACCATCTCATAGCAATGCAATAGTAGTTGAGATATTTCAGTCTGAACTGAAGTAGGAGACTGACCGACCAACTGACAGGCCGCCATTGCCATCCCTGGAGACACATCACTCGCTAAAAATGTTCCTAAAATCATATGCTTTACAACCTTTTAATGTGCATGAACCACCAAGCATCTTTTTTGCTTTGTTTTTGTTTTTACATATAAGTTGACTGAAACGGTTTCTATTTCTTCTTTCAGGTTTTGTTGAGCTGAATCATATGTTGACTTCTTGCTACCCGCCACTGAGTGCAAACTCAACATCTGGACCACTGAGGCTGCTTCAGAAACAGAGGAGAGAGAGAGAGAGAGAGAGAGCGATGACCGAGTCAAGGACACCTCCTTTTTGGATGTACTAAAACTTTGGAACTCAGAGAGAATTTGTACCAGCCTGGTTAGCCCCAGGACCCCTTTTTTTTTTTCCTTCTGCACACATATACACACCTCTTTCCCCACAAAACCCTGCTTGAATGACAGCTACCGTTTCTGGACCACAAATACTTTTACTTGAACAATGAAGGGAGAAAAAAAGTAAAAGAAACTCTATCAAACCTACTTACAATGACCAAGCCCACTGAACTCTTAAAGGAAACACGGATGTCAAAAGTCCAAACAAGAACAAAAACTTTTTAAAAACTGAACAGAAGATTGCCGTAGGAGATCTTTCTGGGAGATGGTTTGAGTTTGGGGCAATTGACTTTTGAAGACCAATTTATAAGACTTGAAAAACAAGAAGGGACAAAGAAATTCTCGGAGAGAGAGAGAACAAAAGTAGGGAATGTGATATTTTCAGGACACAAATTGGCTTCGATTTGGGGATTGCCATCTTTAGCTCGGAGTGCCTGTCCGTTTCCAGGGGATACCGTTGCCAAGGAGAGCCATAGCAACGGTCTCCGGGGAGTCTTACCTGTCATTCCTTAGTTGTTTTAGGGACCAAAAGACCAAACGTTTTTATTGCTGAGGACTTGTAGCTCTAATATACTCGGACCACTGCATCTCTTTCAGTCAGTGTTAACTGGTTGAAGAGTTGCACTTAAAAAAAAAGTGTACATTTCAAATATATACAACACATGTATATATACATATATATTGCTGATATGCTTTTTGAATACAGGCAAAACTATTTCAGATGACCAAATGGGGTCTCTCACTTCGCTAGTTTACAATTACTCAAAATGTTTATTTTTTTCTCTTCTCATTTTGTCTTGGGAGGGATGGCGAGTGCATGGGAGGGGCTGCTCCGTATCACAGCCTTATCTTTTTTAACTTGACATCCTAACCTCATAGATAGAATAACATCAGAAACGTTTGAAATATATGAACTTGTTTATATTTGCAGTACATATATGTATAACAAGCATTCAAGCAAGTGTATTCATATATACAGTATATATGGATAAATAGGTATTAATCACAAACAAATATATGTATTTATATGCACATATTTTATATATGTGTGTCTGTATATAGAACGGCCACTGACTATGTTGAGCTGTAATTTTTTGTAGATTTTAGCTGGAGTTTGAAACATCGCTCTGCTTGGGAAGAATTGCAAATCTGGCAGCTCCCAAAACTGCAGGCATTCCTATCTCTGATTACCTATATGCTGACACACAATATATTGCTAAAAGATACATGTGTGAGAATACACATATGGTGTAAATATTATCTGAAAATGCAAAAAGCCACATCTCAGTAGCAGGCTTTAAGAGAATCAGGCTTAATGATTTTTAGAGGAAAAGGACAATTATCTTCGACTCTATTCCAAACATATCTTTTGAGCTTACACACACACGCACACACACACACACACACACACAAACTTCTCTTTGAAAACTTGAACCAAAATGAATATGTCTCACAACCCTTGCTCTCTTTTGCATTCAGTAAAGTGCATGTAGCGTATGGGCTGTCACCATGTCAAGGTGTGCCTTGTCACCTGCAGAATCTGCCATCAAGCACTGTGCTCTCAGAAAACTAAGAAGAAAAAAAAAAACCGAAACACACACCACTGCAAGCAGCAAACGCGCTATTATGATGTCAAAACTACAGCCAGATCCATGTCATTTGTCAGCCGCGTAGAGAGCTTCAGTGTATGTCCAATATAACAAACCATCAGACAACTGCTGGTCCATCAATGTCTTTGAAAAAAAATTAAAAAAATGCATTTAGAACTAATGTAGACCCATGCGATCACACTTGAGATAAAAGCGGGCATTAGGTAACCTGTTAGCACAGGTACTAACTACCAGAGCTGTGTGCAGGGCACCTGTGACCATGTTCCACTGGTTGGAGTCAGAACTGGGGTAAAGTTCAGGGTTTCAACTGGCATCACTTGGCTCGATATGAGAAGTGACTTTAACATTAGGTTTTAATGGTTATGAAGGGGATGTAATATTGATGAATATGTTATAATTAGAGAGCTGGCTTCCCATTGAAGAGAATAAGGGATGTACTTTCCCATTCGGCAGTTAATCTGTGGATCTCTGCTGGTAATACTTAACATGAAGCATATCCTTTAGAAGATGTTATATTGCCTTATGTTAGGTTACTGTTAAAAACATAATGAAACTGTGGAACGAAGCAATAAGAGTGGAAAGCCATTTACGCATTACAACTGCTGTATCACCGAGGCTGGTTTCATATTGCTTTAACATACAGTTTCTCAGTCTACAAAAATGGTATTAACACCGACTATATACCTGCAAAAGGTCAACAGACTTGGATTTATTGGATCCTGCATTCAACACATATTCAGCTGGTGGAGATTACTCAATGAATATTTATATATATGAATATTTATAAGGCTATATGACACTTTGGAAGACAATGCTTCCTGTTGGGTGCTGTTACTAGTTTTTCCTATAAACTGCTCATTATTTCCCTAGTGTCTGTGTCTAACCTTTTTAGCGCATTGAATAATTTAACATTTACCTTCCAAATCCAGTGAGGTTATAAGACGCCACTACACATCCCAGGATGTCGCTGTTGCTCTGTATGTGCCACATAACAATGCCCTGACTGTGGCGCACAGTGCAAACCAGATGACCGTCATGATCGTTTTTGCTCTGACAGTATCCGCGGTTGGTTTGTACAAAACGTCTTGTACATCCACCTGAGCTGCCTTTGAGATAACAATAACATCCGAAGCTAAATGTCACAAGTCTGGTGTCCCTGATCGCCACACTGTGTGCCCTTTGACTGCCCCTCGCTGCTCTGAGAAAATTGAAAAAAAAGGGTCGACACGGTCTGTGCTTTTCTAATGGTTTGTTTGAGCGATCACTCATGTCTTTCACCGAGCACCGTGTTTTCATGTCGAGTCAAATGAGGGAGGGAGGGGAAGCAGAACGACCACGGGAACTAGAACGCCAAGCACCTCTTCTTCATTTGCTCCAACTTTAAGCTGCAAGTTTACATGAGAAAAGTTAAACAAAGTATCGTGGTTCAAAAACAACAAGAAACAGAGCAGAAGTTTGAATATAAATATATATATATAAATATATACATAAACCGATGAATATACTGTAAATTGTTTCCTTTTTTTGCTCTGTTTTCCTCTGTACATAGGTTTGCATATTTTATAGGACTTTTACTTCTATCTACAAGGACTGGATAAAGTACTTTAAATACTTAAAAAAATATATATGAATGAAAACATGATAATGCTCATTAAAACCAGGTACAAAAAAAAATAGTCGCTAGGATACGGTACAAACTGTAGGACCTGACCAAGGCATTTATCCAGAATACAGTCAGGGAGAGCATTGACCTCAGCTAGAGTTTAGACACACATTGACCTATTTTATAGAAGAAAAAAATACTTTGTTCTATTCATTTATCTATTTGTTTAGATATTTATTTATAAGTCATATCCGAGATAATATGCATGCTTTCATGGCATTATTTTTCTATGAGTTGGTACGTGACCAAATAGTTTTTATATGACATGCATGGGCCACTGTTGTGGTCCACAGATGATCATCGTTCCTGTCTGCAGGACCACGCCTTCAACACTTCTTTGATGACGGAGAAACAAAACGCTCCTATTGACCAAGTGATGTCAAAGACAGATTTTTCATCATTTATTTATGTCTTTATTTATTTATTTATTTTTATGTATTTATTTATTCGTGCCGTTTGATTCAAGATTCGAGCTCTCTTATTGCAACCGATCTGTGTGCTTGTTAGTGCTACTTTGTATCACTGCATCACATATTAACACAGAAGTATTGGCAAAATGAACTTCAAAGACTGATTTTTACGATTGCTTGCTGCTGATAAACTATTCAAAACAACGCAGTACAATACTAAAGCCTTATGTATATTTGTAATTATAAATTCATATTGTTCTGTTCCAAAAATGTAGCTTTACTAAAAGATTGTCAACAAAAAAAAAGATGCCAATTGGAGGATTCCGATCATTTTGAGTATCATTCGATTCCATCCTGAAACCTTTAAACCAAGTGATAAAAGCGGACAATTCCTACTTAAACACTCCCTCATAAACCAACTGTTCAATCAGATATGTAACACACAAGAAGAAATGCCTTGAGGTCACTTTAAAGTGCTGCTAATGTGTAAGGAGCCAATGTCTGACCAATTACTAATCACCGATTGACTGCCTGCATAAAGCATCAGTTTTGATTCTTAAAACTTCATTCCCCTTTTCCCCATCTTGCTTTGTATTGTTTGACAGAGCTCTGATCTTGTTCAACTGATGTGTTCTACCGAGAGCACAATTCAATGAAAACTGCACTATCTCATCGAAAGAAATTGAGTTACTATCATTCTTCTTAATGCCGTTAGCAGTGGTTTTATTTCTAGAGCCAAGTGTTGCTAGAATCACATTTTCCTTCATATGGTTTTCAAAGTATTCTGGAAATCTATTTCCCAATTTCAGCACATACGGAGGGTGGGGAAATGAATGTTGCATATTAAGCTTTGCCGGGTTTCCTGATGAGCTAAGCTTCCAATTGGGCAGTGCGCTTTAGGCTCCCGCCCCTGTCTCTCCAGACAATTCTCTGGTCCCTTGAACTCTTTTTTTGTAATTTTAAATGAATGATGCGTCTCAGCTTAGCCCAATAATAAAGCACAGTCTAGAATAAAGTGTATTGTGTCGTGTCATAATTACTGATAACTTATCAATATGAGAAACGAACGTCACCGTTATTCCCCATAAAAAGGAGGTGATGATTCGGTCCATTTGTCTGGCGTTGGATATGAACATGTCATTATCCAGATTTTGGTTATCCAGATTTTCATCATTTAAGGATAATTGATTTTAGTCATAATAATCACACCCACAAATTCTCAATGTACAATTGTGTATAGGGTGTATTATTGCTGGCATTGTCCTCAGGGACAACCTGCGTAGCTCAATGGGAAACAGTTTTCCTGCAGTGACAACATAACACCCAACTAGAAGCAAAACCAATTCTGAAAAAATATTTGTTTATTTGTATTAAAACCACAGTATAGCAAGAGTACAATCTACAATATCATAATTATTCTGTATTAGAACGTCAAGAACAAACAGGTGGATATGAAGCAACTGGACACATTTTCTTCTGTGTCAGCAAATGAAGAAAATATCCTCCAGTATTTGGCTTTCTTCCAGGTCCTGCTGGGTACTCTGAGGATGAGACCCAGCAGGGGTAAGCAGGGTTCTGCCCCCTGGTTTGGGGGCAATGAGCGTACGTTGTGACGTTTTGGGTCTTCGAGACGACTGCTTGCTCAGTTCAGCGGCAGAGACGGGACTAAAGACATCCAATAACTCAACCAGAGAAAAGTCCAACCTAAAGAAAAAAAGTAGAATTTAAGAGTTCTTTGTTGTTTCATTCAACTCAGTTTGTTTTTTCTCCACATGACCTCTGCTTGTTTCAAAAGGTTGGATTGGCACAGGCCTACATTCAGAACACAGCGGTGTCCCGTCGACGGGCAATGTTGTAAAAGAGTATCCTTGTGCCGTTTCATTGTGACACCAGCTCCAGAACGTGCTCTCAATGTTAAACAAAGAGGGTGCAAGTCAAGGGACCGACACCAGACGAGCACAAGGCCAGAGTCTACTTTGAGCCCGTCGCTTGTACAAAAACATTAGTCATTCACCTTCCACTTGTTAACACAGACCATATGAAAGCAAATCTCTCCTCGACATGTTAACAACAGCTTTCTTGCTGAAGTGTCCGCTGAACCCTAACAAGCAACATTAACAAGTCAAAACCACTGGGGCGTCCCAGCAGAAAAACACACTTTCTTGCAGGTGTGAGAAAAAAAAAAGAAAAGGAGAAGAGAACCCGAGGCTGTCTCCCCTGGAATAGAAATGAGGGAATGTGCAGAGAAATAAATAAACCAAAACGGGTAAGATTAAGCTAATAGAGATTCAATCCCTCAGTCTGGCTGGCTTGATAAATTATTCAGTGTATACACAGTCGAACAACGCCATTCCAGATACAAAACATGAATTCTTTAAAGCACGCTCCACTGATGTTGCCAACATAATTCTCTGCTTGTTTAAAGCTGCATCGATTTGCATCGCACGGCTCCGTACACAGCTCTCCCAGGTAAGGGTGATCTTTGACGTGCACTTGTTGATATGCATGTGGGTGGTCAGCGGAAAGACACACCGGTGGAACTTCCAATCAGGAACACATTTGTCTTCCTCCGCACGTAACTACAGACCTTAACGCGTCGTGTTTTCACGTTAACTTGAGGCAGCACACATCAGTAGTTGCAAAGCTTTAAAAAGGCAAATTTTGCTGTAGCAACACAAGCTAATGTATGCACATGTTAAGAGCGTGAGGGAGAGAACGTGAATGAGGGGTAAGTCGGCTGAGGAATGATAACTGATGAAAAAAAAAAAAAAGAGAGACTGAAGCTCAAGTAAGTAAATCAGTCTTCCTCATTTGGTCTCCTGCCTGTCAACAGCAAAGGAGAAAGCAAAAGAGAGCGTGAGCGAGGGACCGAGTGTGTGTGTGTGTGTGTGTGTGTGTGTGTGTGTGTGTGTGTGTGTAAGAGAGAGAGAGACTGGAAGCGAGTGCAGCTTTGTGGATAGAGAGAACGGCAGAAAGGGAATGTGGGGGAGGGTCATTGGCTGGGTTCCTTCTCTCGAAATGTGAGAATTTGCATTTTTATTTGTTGATTTATTTAACGGACAGGGCTCTCAAACAGCCATCCATCAACAAACGACATGTCGGTAATGAATAATGCATCACTTACTGGCGGTCACAATCTATAACAAGGGGAGTGTGGGGGGTAGGGGTAC